TTCCCGGCTGCATTTGGCCTTACTATCTTTCTTGAACCTATGCTGGGAGCCTGTCTCACTGCTACTTTAGGCCCCCTGACCTTTTCCAGCATAGTACTTTTGCTGGGATTGCTTGAAACTGCGAAAGGAGTGAGGTGCTTGATGCTGGATTCCCTGCTGTAAGTCAAGAATCTCACCCCTTTTGCAGTTTGTCTGCAGATGAGGGGCACGAAGTATTTGTTAGACGGACCTTGTGGCTCTGTTGTGCCTTTGGCTATCTTGGTCTGCTTTTGTTTCTGTTTTTGTCCTTTATTGCTGCCTGCCTTCCCTCCTCTAATCTCCTCCCCTTCTTCCCTCCTCCCTCTCTTTTCTTTCGGTATTGTGTCGTCCTCCAATGACCCGGATGAGTCGTACGAGTGGTAGGAAGCTTCTGAGAGTGAGTCCTCTCCCTCATCCTCCTTGAGTTCTTCGAGACTTTCTGGTCCCTGGGTTTTTTAGGCTTCCTTTGCCTCATTACCAACGCATGCACCGCAGGCTACGGCCTGCTTACTACCACTCTCACTCACAAAGTGTTGTGTTCCTTTTGAATCATGGCATGAGCAGGCGCTCCTTTGTTCCCTTGAGTGCCCATACGCTCCTCAACTCCTGCAATCTCTATTGCAGGTTCCTCCCTCTGTGCCTTCTTTCCCTCCCCTCCTGACTTCTCAGAGATTTTTAAAACCGAAACTTTCTCAACTACTTCCTTTTCTGCAGCGTTCAAAGCAGGTGCAAAACTTTCCACTGTTGTTTCGTGCTCTTTTGACTCTTTTTGCACTGCTTTCTGACCCACCTGTCTCCAAGCGGCGGTCCTTGACTTACTACCCGATGCTACAGAGGACTTGTTAGCCTGGCTAGATGTGCCGATGTTGAACGAAGCTGGGATATTGTTAGCGCTCACTAGGACCGAAACTGTCCTGTCCACTGCGGGGAGTGGCCCATAAGTCCACTGGTTCCTCAGTGCCCCAGCTATGAGACCTCGGTTATCCTGAACAACCGTCTGAGACAAAAAGGGCCCAACGAGGTTTCGCTGGCCCTGTGCAGACCCTGCTCCCCCTTGTTGCCTTTGTTCCACCGTGTTGATTGCTATGCTTTGTGGGCACGCGGCAGCCGGGTGCCCTGCGTAGTCTTTGCAGAAGTGGCAGTAATCTGTGAATTGGGTGACTATCCTAATGCTAATGGCCGTTCCGTCTGCCTGTGGCCATTCCAAGCCATCCGGAACCCTTTCTTTCAACTCTCGTGGAATATCGAATTTTAAATTATTGAGTTTTGGCGCATCTTCGTAGCGCTCTGGAGGGTATTGCTTTGAGATTTTTCCAATGGCAAAGGCCAGAGCGGATTTCATGTACGACACAGCTTTGTATGGGACCCTGAGTGCCATAATCCAAATCTTACTAACCTCATCCTCAACTCTTGACTCCTCTATCTGTTTCTGAGACATCCATTTTTTGAAGGACATCTTGTACATCTGGGATCCTACCTTTATCTTGTGAGCTCCAAGTTTCAACAGAAACTCAACTGTCTTTTTGTCCCTCGGGAGGTACGACATGACGTTTCTCCCTTCCTGGTGCACCCTGCCCCGTTCTTTCTGGTGCATGGTTACTGGGAGCAGCGTGTACTCCAAGATCCTGACGCACTCCTCCTTCCTCTCGGCTGAAACCGATCTAAAGGAGCCCTGGAAGAAAATAACCACCACATTATCCCGTAGCCATTCCTCATGTGCCTCCTCTACTTTGGGGTCCAGGGAAATTGTCACTGTTTTTTCCTTCATCGTGAACTTTGCCAGCTTGGAAGTGTCAGGGATTTGCAGCCAATCGTAGCATTTTTCAAAAAATTGTTTTGCTGTGTCTACGTCTGTGGCTGTCTCCTCAGCCATTGTTGCCTTCCCTTCAGTGTCCACTTCCTCCTCCGAATCTTCCTCATCTGGCCACCAATTAATCCTCTGTGACTGTGACCTACCTTCCTTAGCCCCATACTGTTGGGCACCAGCGAGCCTATTTCCTTCCCATTTCCCTTCCCCTCTCCCTCTCTCTCCTCCTCTTCCCGCCCCTCCTCGCCCCGCCCCTCCTTCCGCTCCCATCCCTCCACTTCCCTTACCATCCCCTCTAGGGTCACTTTTCCCCCCTCCTCCAATCCCTTGGCTCACGTTGTTCTCGGTTGTGTTCCTGCCTGCTCTAAAGGCGAATGGGGTGTTGCCCCCCAAAGCCTCGTTGTTCAATCGTGCTACCTCTTGTGGGGCATTAACCCCCTTCTGCGGGACAGGGTTCCGCTGTTTAAAAATTGGCCTCTGATTTGTTTCTTTCATCTGCACATTGTTCAGCGCCCCTATCTTCAGATTGGGCGCTGCGAACGAAGTAGAAGAAGCCCCTGCCATCCCTCCTTTATTCCAGAATGGTGTAAAGGATTCCCATTTCAGGGCGGCTGGTCCTTTTTTTTCGGAGGCCTTCTTATCCACTGGCTTGATACCTGTCCCTCCGGCATCTCCTGCGCTTTCGAATGGATTGTCTGAGAGAATCATCTCATGACTGACGGGGTCTTTACTCATCGACGATGCCGGTGTCTATCCTGCGGGGCGCTGCCTGCTAAGCTAGGCTATGCTGAACAAGTCCTCTTAAACGACACAATCCAGCGTTATCGAGTGTATTCAGATTATCTAAGCTACAAGGTGTCGACAGTCCGTTTCACCGGAGGCAGCCGAGCTCCTACCGCCGCGTAATAACTCGTAGTCTAGCCAGTCAGCAAGGCAATAATGGACAAAAGAGCGGTGAAGGGAACAATCAATAGTGTAGTAGGAATCCTGAGCCCCTTCTTTCTAGACGGTGCTTTTAGTAGAATATCCAGTCAAGTGTTGTTCGTCCCTAGACTTGACGCCGTTCGAGCTGCGGTGTCATACCCTTCATTGTTCGTCTGAACTTCGAGTATTACCCGTGAACCAGCAAGGACGGCGAGAGCGTGAATGACCAAATGAGTATTGAAAAACAGGAAAAACCCATGTGTGAAACCCAAGATGAGAAAATATCCGACAAAGTGTTGTTCCCTCCTGAAATAATTATCGTTCGAGCTGCGAACTACTATTGCCAACGACACTGGTTCGTCCAGTTTAGCACGACACTGTCCTACGTCTATGACGTGTTCATACCGAAGGACTGCCGGTTGCTATATGCCCCTTTTTTCTTTTCCACACCGCTTGTCCTTTAGGGTTAGGCGAAAGGTTCCTGTTTACCTTTTCACCCTGTGCATGTCCAGAATCAGCTCATTTTAACGATTCTTCCTCTATATCCTCCCTGACGGACATCCAAGAATCCCGGACCTACCGACTGAACCCTAATCTCTTGTCCCACCGCCGATTTCCATGTCCCGATAAATCCTAATCGGCCTTCCTCCGCGTGGCCCCCCCCTTCCGCGTGGCCCCCCCTTTTCCAGGTGCTCTCTGGGCCCCCCTTGTGTCAGAGCCTCTGCTCCACGCATGAGGAACTGGGCTTGAAATGATGTGGAATTCAAGAGTCCATGGTGTATCCGTTCCCCCTCGGGAGCCTATGGTCTTTTCTACACTCGTTGCGATTCTTCCCAAATAAACGATAAGACTTGCTTTTCCTCTGTACCAAACGTCTTCCTTACCTATAATAGGATAGTATTTCGCGCTGTGTCACCGTGCAAAACTAGTAAGAATGAGAGAGTCGGACTGTTAGAGGCTTGCTGAAACAGGAATCAAATCTGGGTGAATAGTGAACGAAAATATATCGATGTAATATCTCGATAAAATACAGGATGTCCGGCCCCGACTAAAGTATCGCTCCACTGCTCCTTGTCGGCCGCGATGCCTATTCCGACTGTCACTCCACCTTGTTGTTGTTTCCTGTGAGGCGCAGCCTCGTGTCCCCCGTGTATAGGACAAAGATTCGTCCTTCATGTTCGATAGGAAGGACGCGACGAGACCTTGTCGTGTTCTTCGGCTCAGAATGTTCGGATAGATTCAATGTTGTTGCTTCTTCCCCCTATCGCCCCCTCTTTCCGCCTTGGGGACGAACCCGCTCTTCGCGTACAACCGATTGATTGGAACTCACGGTTGCTGCTCGAGAAACCGCCCTTCCCGTGCTATGCGCTCCAGGATATGGCGGTCGCGCTCCGTTTGGAACCCTAATCGTCTAAGCGAAACGCTGTCCGGCTTAGTGCGCTTCGGCGCCGCCACCGTCCAGGTCCACTCCCCCTCGTTCCCGGACTTCCGACTTTCTTTTTTCCTTTTTTTTTTTTTTTTTTTTTTTTTTTTTTTTTTTTTTTTTTTTTTAACAAACAACCGGGAAATGGGCCCGGTGTCCCATTATATTTACAAAGCCAGGAAGCGGGCCTGGCGTCCCTCACATCAACAGGGCAGTCTGACTCAGAGGCGAGACATCATCGGTCAGGCCAAAAAATCAGACTGCAGTTCCAAAACCACATCACGCCCACACCGCGACACACAAAAATGTGAAACGCGGTCAATGAAAAAGCAAAACCAAAGTTCAGCAAATGTGTATGTAATCTACAGTGCCTACAGTGGCTACAGTATTTCACTACCATCTGCCACACACAAAAATGCAAAAGGTAATCAATGAAAAAGCAAAACCAAAGGTCATCAAAATTAATGTGTATGTAATCTGCAGTGTCTACAATATCTACAGTATCAACCTACCATCCTTGTACGAGTATTCACAGTTGTGCACAAGCAACATCAAAGAGCAGCATGTATGCACAACAAATTCAGAAAAGGAGCCCGTAGAGAATACAAGAGACTCATCTTATGGATTCTCCGGCTCACAATCGAGCACACAACCTCATATGGCCTCACCAAAGGTTCCAATCCCACGCAACACGTAATGAGTCAGCAGGGGTTGCTATATGGGTTCCTCCAGACTCTAGGGCAGAGGTGATTCACTGGGAAGCAGATCAGGAGAACGGAAGGTGGATTTCAACACTGGTAATGCTGGAAATAGAGATAGTGTGTGTAATCAATGTCTATGGTCCGAATGAGGTACAAGAATGCAAACAATTCTTTAATGATATTCAGGGTCATATACCGAACGATATCCCAATCATACTGGAAGGGGACTTTAATGCGACACCAGATAGATAGATGGACAGTTCCTTCACCATGCCCTGCCTATATAGAGGACGATGAAATAATTATCCAACAATTGTGTGATACTGAAAATCTATATGACACTTACCGTAGGTTTTTCCCACAGGAAAATTTATTCACGTGTATCAGAAATACAGGTACGCCCAATCAATCTAGATCTAGAATAGATTTAATACTTATGTCAGAGGATCTAGATCATGCGCTAGTAGGGGTAAATATCTTTCCCCAAAGCCCATGGCTAGGAGCAGATCACAAGATGTGTGCCATCCTCTTGAATTTTAGGAAGAAACCGGATAGAGGGAAAAATTTTTATAAACTCAACTCCTCCCGCTTAAAAAGAACGGATTTCAAGAATTACATTCAGGATGTGAGGAAATATTGGCAAACCACGAAAGACAGGCATGAATCCTACATCTCCTGGTCTGTGTGTCCATTCAACTCGCAACGGGATTTATTCAACTCCGTTGAACCCGTTGAACGGCCATGAGGCCCGAGTTGAATCCCCGTTGAACGCCCCCCCCCCGTTGAACGGTATAACGGGGGTTTCCTGTTGAGTTCCGATCAACGGGTCGAGCCCAATGGGGCTCGGACACGTGTGGAACCAAAAAAAGTAAAAAAAAAAGTAAAAAAAAAAGTTGAAAAA